TATATATGTTATATGGGGGGGGAGAATGAAAAAAATTACTCTGAATTCATCTGTGGAAGAAGAAACACTGTAAAAATACAGTAGAAAAAGAGGAAGAATCCAGTAACACCTTAAAGACTACCTGAAAAAAGTTTTTAAGATGCTACTGGTCTCTTGTTCTTCTCTGCTGCTAGACAAACTAATACAGCTACCCATCTCGTAAAAATACATGCACGTACGGAGGGGGGAATGGTATTCTGCATAAAGTTTCTGATGCGCTCTCCCATATAGACCAGCCCAGACTAGACACACAAGCCTGTACGGTACAGGTCCCTTTGCTGTGCTCTGGTTCGAATGCCTGCCAACTGCAACTAGTATCTTCTTATGGAAAGCAGGTGACTGAAGGGCCACCACAGGAGGAGCCCGTGAAGACCAGTTTGAGCAATTTCAGGACAGGTCCACATCGGAGGAAAGTAAAATTACTTGGAAACAATGCTTGCTCATCTCAGCCAGTGTGAACTTAGCTACTTGTGAGCCAGCTCACCTGTGCATTTCAGCTTATGGAGTCCTCACTCTCCATCTTTCATACATATTTTACCACCTGATACTGCATAAAATATGGACCTGGGGTGGAAACCAAAGTCTGTGGTTCAAGTCCACGGTCATGAACTCCCAGGAAGCCTTCGGTAAGCCAGTCATAGCCTCCTAATAATAATACTAACATACCTTACAGGGAACGGTCACTAATAAAAACACAGTCTATATGCAAAATAATATTCTGACCAGCAGGGGTTGAAAGAATGCACTCACTTGCTGGTGATGGCCATAAGCATGGATGACTTCAAAATGGGATTAGACAGAATAGGTTCATCAGAGGATAGGAGGATAGGTTCATCAGTGGCTACTAGCCAAGGTGACTAAAGGGAATCTCCATTTTTAGAGTCGATAAATCTCTGAACACCACTTCTAGGAGGCAACATCAGGGGAGGCTTTGGCCTCTATGCCCTGTAGCTTGGCCCTCCAGGGAAACTAGTAAAATAAAACAGGATGATGAACTAGATGGTCCACTGGGCTGAACTAGCAGGGTTCCTCTTATGATCTTAAAGATGCAGCAGAATTTTTGCTTGAAGTGTCTCCTTAGAGCCGTTTGCAGGAGATGCAGAAAAACACAAAAAAGTTAATGGAGATAACTCCATTAGAACCACTCTGTGAGCAAAAAATGAACTTTGTGCAATTCCACTTGTGCAAGCAGTTAGCACAGCTGCAATAATGTGTAGCATCTCCATGTAATTTTAATAACAACCACATGGAATGTACAACAGTTGGTACACATGATCTCATTTAATTTGGTTTTGAAATTTTATGAGAAGAGGTATCTTGCACTATGTCAGGTGTGCATGGAAAAGATGGTGGGGATACAATCACTTTTATTTAGCACAAGGAGGCCCCAAGGAGTAACTTTTAGAACTTCTACATATACAATGACTTTGGGTTATATGCAGCAATCTTCTGTGGTATCCAGTTAATAATCTTCCATGCAACAATGGCAGAGATATCATATTTTATTTGTTCACCTTTATTAAAAAAACAAAAAACAAACCTCCCCATCCCTGAGATGTAAGTGAATTTTTGTCTTTTTATTACCAGCATGCTCATGGGGCAGAATGTACTGGATTAAGAGATTTTCCCCTTGTCATTCACTGCCCCAGAAAATGCATCCATATGGGAATGGTTAGTA